CCACACAGATGTCCCGCTGCAGTGAGTTCCCCACACTCACTCTGACTAACATGAAACAGTATCCTTTGCCCTCTTCCAGCATGTCCCCCCTTAGGCCTTTCATTGTAAAAAACAGCGGAGAGAAACTGCCGAGGTACCAGCTCTGAGCTTTTCATGTTACAAAACCAAAGTGTGATTTTCAGTAAACTGTCCTTTAGTCTAAGGAACACTTTAGAAGGAATAGCTGCAAATCAATGAGGTTTTCTCTTCAGATCAGCCTTGCTTACAGAGCCACTATGAAAGTTCACTACTGTGGACACAAAAGCTCCTTGTTCACCATTTACCAGGGAACTAATATATCTTTTTTTAACCTTCTCATCCAAAAGAAAATTGCCTGCATGGAATGAATAGAATTTTTCAGGGCTGCTTAAAGGCCCAATTCCAAAAAGCTTATGTTAGACGTGTTTTTAAAAAAAAAAAAAAAAAAATCTGTAAGCAGCTTATAGAGACAAGCGCTACTCAAACTGAATAACGAAACTGAAACCTGGCCTTTCACATTCAATATCATCTTGCTGAAGTTCATCTGGTGCTCTTTTTAGCCACTGCTGACTACAGAACACAATACAGTCTTTATCCAACAGATGCACTGAAGGAAAACTTTTCATTCCTACAGAAACATCAGTTCAAAGTAATAGGACAAGTTTGTCTCCTCCACTAACTCGTGTGGTAAATAATCTGCCCTAGACATAATCTTCTGTCCACTGAAATAAAGGTTGCTCGAATATTTCATTTATCTCTTGAAACCACTAAAGACACTGTCACGCCTGGAAACACATGGACCATGTGATCTCTCTCATGCTGATGAAAATTGGGGATAGCCACACCGAGGTTGTTGAAATAAAATCAATATAAGTAAAAGCAGAATATAGGGCTGCATATTAAACTCAGTTTCTCAAGGCCTCGCCAGAAACCTGGATGCTCCCAAGTGTCAAATAAGCCTCTCAGAGCTACAGAACACACAAGTAACGCTGGTCCACATTGTACCCGTGGACTTGACCCTCCATATTTCATTCCCCCTCCTCCCTAGGCACCAAAAGAGAAATATGCAACTTTGCAGGCAGGGTCATAAATCCCTGAGCATAAACTAGCTTTGTCCTGCACTCTCTCTTGAAACAGGGGGAAGATCCCGCAAAGTGCTAAAAACCGAGGCTCCTCAGCACCTCTTGCAGAACAAGGTTTCTTCATTTCCCTTAGCTCCTGCAGGTGGGTCGGTTCTCCAGGTCTCTGGAGAACCCCCGTCCCTGAAGGATGGCCCAAAGGCTGGAGGTCTGAAGAACAAGAAGGGCTTCTTCTAAGGCAGAGGCAGTTCGCTCTGCCTCTGCTCCACCCCTCGCCCTCCTTCACTGAGCCTGCCCTCTGCCGTATGGCACTCACGTCTATCCCGTCCTTGCCAGATGGTCCAGGCGGTCCTCGGGGTCCGGGAGGGCCTTGTGGTCCTACTCTCTGAAAGAATTAGGAAGAGAGAGAGAGAGAGAGATGAAAGGGTTTATTTTTGCATCAGAAGAAATACATAGGCTAAAGCAACAACTGAGGGAGTCCCACAGCACTGAGCCTAGAGCTGCACTAAACCTCCATCCCTCAGGACACCTTCCATCCTGGATAGACTCAGAGATGCTCAGGCCTCGAGCAAAGCTCTTTGGAAAATCCTTCTGAATTTGAGCACAACCTCAGGGCTCCCAGTCCGTTCAACGGAAGGCTTATACTGGGAATCAGACCCAAATGCTGGGAAGCGAATGCGTTTGGCTATGTATGATTTTGTTCTCAGCACCTATAGACACACTTCATTTTGGGCAGAGGAGGAGATGCAAAGCCCAGGGAAAATAAATGCAGTGCTTGGTATTAAAAATGGCATTCACCATGCCTGTCTGACGGGGTGATGGAAGAGCCAGATTGACATCGCTGAAGACAGGACCTAAGGTGAAGAAAAGCTCAGTGAGGGAGAAAGGGAAAGCCTCTTCTCTCTGAGCAAGAGGCTAAAAGAAAATCTGGGATTTTAGAGAAGGTCTGAGGTGGGGGGAAGGAAAGAAAAGTCCAATAAATGACTTCTCTATGGAGAGGGCTCCAGAGAGTAGCCTGCCGTAGCTTCAGTGAACAAAGGTTTCATTGTGGAAGCAGCTCTGCTCACAGCAGATGAGGGCAGCTCTGAACTCCCAAGCCAGACTGCAAAAATTCCTCACTAACACAATGAAAAATCTCACTGAGGAGTTTCTTCCCCAGGCAACCCATTAATGCCATGCAGGGAAGTTTAATATAGCTTCACATGCCTTAAATGAACAAATATTAAACATGCTATTTCGTAAGCGTAAAATTTAAAAACTGGTTGAGGAAAGGAATAAGAAATTATCTGATTCAGGTGAAGAATCAGATCACAGGAGATCCTACTCTCATTGGCAACTTGTTACATCATTGAAAAAGAAAACTGTTTCTCTTAGGTCAACAGATCTCCCTTTCCCAAAGCTTTTCTCTCATAGCTGCAGTCCTGAACGGGAAGACAATACTTCTAGGGAAAGCTTAAAGTGGCTGTTTCGACACAGCAGGATACGATCTAAAAGCCTACCTACGTGGGTACGAAACAAACCTGTTTGCTAGGCATTCCTCTGTGTATAACAGCACAAACAACATGCATATTTTAAATAGACTTTAATAATACACTTACTGCCATATGCATTCTGCAGGCATGATACACACAGATTATAATATAGTTTTCCCTTACAGCGCTGTTTTTTCAGCATAAGACGTAAATGAAAATCCTTACCTGAGCAGACGATGTGGCTAATAGCTGACAAAGGCAGAGAAGCCCAAGAGCGGAGAATCCAGCCATGGTGCCCAGGCTCTGCCTCTCCTCAGTTCTCCTGGGCAGCTAAACCCTTTCTCTCCTCCAGGGTCCAGCAGATCCCTCCTTCTCCTTCTGGATCTCGGCTTACAAATGAGACTCCTGGCCTCCAGATAAACCTGCGTCTCCAGCTGGAGGGGCAGAGCTCAGGAGCACAAGCAGGCAAGAGGGGCCGAGCTCAGAGAAGAGAGGGAGAGAGCAGGTTTCACAAGGAGGAGGTGGGAGAAGGAGGGGGCCTGCCACAAAACGGCAGGCAGTCATGAAGAGAGGCTCTCATTCATGCCCCGCTGGACAGCCCCAGCCTTGGGCAAACAGGGAGGGAGCCTAAGGAAGGGCCGGACTTGCCTTCACTAAGCTATCGGAGGCTGGCGGACACATCGCAGGAGCAAAATTTAGCTGCTCCAGCTGGAGAGAAAGATGTTCCTTAGGTCTCACTTGGGCCATTTCTCAAAGCCCATCATTGCCTTGGTGCTGGATACATAAAAGACAACACAAACGGAGAGTTATTCGGCGCCGGAGGATCTGATTTCACTTGATTTCACTAGAGAAATAATACACCTGTAAAGAATGGCAGATGTACTACAGAGGAACGCGCTCGCTGCTTTGCTTTGTGAGATGGTTTATTGGCTCTGGAGGTGCCCTCACATCTGTATCTTTTCTGCTTGTTTTCAGGAATATTCACAGAATGCTAGACTGACTTCTTCAGAAAGTGATGAATCTTGATCAGAGAAGACGACATGCAGAGACAAATAAAAGGAGGAGGAAGCAGAAGACACACTCCCTAGAGCCACAAAAAGCTAAGGAAGATCTACCTTTGAAATATTTACAAGAACAGAACACGATGGCACAGTTCTCAGCCAGGTGATGCTGAATGGCGATAGGATCATCTGATCCTTCATTAAATAGCTTAATAGCATTTACCAATTATTTAGTTTCATGAAAAACAGGGCTGGAAGTGGAGAAGCAGAGGGGAAAGATTCATCAGGACTGAGATAACGCAGCTCAGTCTGACAAAAAATATACCATTTTTTAAATAAAAGCTTTCAAGCAGCAGGAAGTTATTTCCGACACAGGAGGGAATCTCGCTTTGATAACTGGCTTGCTCACTGGCAGAGGTGGGAGAAAGCACAGACTGAGGATTTGGTTACCGAGAGAAGGGCAGAAATGGAAAAGTAAAGCTTTGAAAGTGAAATATTAAGTTTTGGCTTGGCATCCTTAAGCAAGGAGATTTACATGAGCAAACAGCGTGGCCTGTCCAATTCCCCAGCAGCCAGTATTCCATCAGCTTTGACAGAGGGATAGAGGTCTCAAAGATACTAAGTTTCTACGAGATTTTGTGAAAGAGGCAGCCAGGGACAGAAAGGGAGTGTGTGCGTCTGTGTGTTCAAATGGCTTCAAAGCAAATTGAATGCTTAATTAGACACCACAAACCCCACAGAGGGGAGAGAGCGGTGAAGTCACAGGAATTGCTTCACAGAGCTTGTACCTCTGCCTTCGACACCAAGATCAACTGATAGCAAGAGAAAAGGCAAAGCAAAGTCAACTTCCTGGGCTCTGGTGCTGAAGGAACATCTGGTTTCCTAACGTACCACTGAAGCTGCCCTTGAGGATGAACTTCTGCACCTTGCAGAGAGCGTACAATGCTCTCGCTGCAGCTGAGAGCGGCAGCACATGGCACTAATGATGGGAGGAGTAGAACAGGGAATCTGTGCTTATTCTCCCACCTCAGAAAAATAACAAATCGCTTTAATACTTGCAAAGCATCCACTCATTGGAGGAGCCAGCCAGGAACTGCAGCCTGCCAACACAGTGGCAACATGCATTTATTGAGCAAGACGAGGGAAGGATGATTTTTTCAGCTTGAGAAGAGTTTACTGAAGTGATGATATCGCAAAGTGATGAACACACACAGATATGTGCTCCAGCAGCTTTAATCACTGCACATCATTCATAAGAAGCCCTCCAAGCTCTGGCTTACATGAGCTGAGCCTGTAACATGGCCAGAGAGGGAAAAGTCACAGGGGACGGTCTCATCTCCGAGCCACCTCACTGCCCTACAGAAGCAGGAGAAGATGCACAGTCCTCCTCTCCCTCCAGGTTTCCAGGCACACGGAGCACAGCCGAAGGGACTCAGTAACTTACAGAAGTCAGAACCGTAAAGGCAGCCCTTGCGCTGGTGTCCTGAAGGAGAGGGCCCACCGTAGCTAAATCTTCCTCCATAAACACACCAGCCAGAGCCCTCCTGCCTGCTGGCACTTGAAAGTCTTTTTTGGCTAGGCTCAAAAGGGAAGTTCTCATTTGCCCAGGCATCGCAAAGCTTTCCACAACGCACATTTGGAAGTTATGAGTAACATCAACATAAAAAAAAAAGGGGGGGGGGGGGGGGGGCATCTTTTCCCCACGTACATTTACCGACTGCGTGCTACAGCAGGCGCAGGACCTTGTTTGTTATCTCCAGATGGCACAAGCCGCAGGTTTCCCTCAAGATGAGCCCAGCCTGACCTCTGCTTTACCAGCTGCGCATGGGAATGCTGGACACCTCCAAGCCCCGGCGGTTCAGAGGTGCCCAAGCAATAACAGATGGCTACGGGGTGCAGTGGTGGGATTGATACATGGTCATGTCCTGTCTTCAAAGATGAAAAAACGTAAGTGGAAACTGGTGCGCATTGAAATCATGCTTTAATGGGTGACATTAACATAATAGACTCCATCATACAGCTCCAAGTGATGGAAAACACATCCTGTGAACCCACTGCAAACATCACAGCCGAAATTCTAAACCCGATCATGATAGGGAACAGCCTGCGCACTCCAGACTAAGGCTCTCACTGCAATCTCATTAAAAGGAACAAACAAGCTGCACGTCACCACACAAGATTTATGATCTAGCCCCCAACTGAGCACATATTCACAATGGAAAGTTCATTAAATCAAACACCCACAACCTGTAAATCTGTACAAAAACTATCATTAATAATTTCTTACGAATCTTTTATGAAAGATTTTTCATTCAACATGTTCAAGTATTTGTATCTGTAGTTAATTGTATTGTTAGTGGCTATTTAACACCATTTTTCCATAAAAGAAAAAGACATGTTTTTAAAAACATTTAAGCTGTTTTCCAGCCTGTGTGTAACCATGACCATTAAATGATCTCCTTAACCTTGAGGACTTTTATACCTCCACATATGTATGTGGCATGCTCGATCAGGGCCCACATACTAGGAAGGCAAATCACAGATCAAATTCCTTGAGAGATGAAGCTTCTTAAGAGCTGTAGCAGAGAGAGGAGAAACATTAACATTGCAAGGACTACTGCATCAGCTTTCTGGCAAGCCACCAACCTACACAAAGCAAACAGCACCTAAAAACCCCACGACTAAGACACACAATCTGAGCAAACACCAAGTCCAGCCCTTCTGGCTGTTAGGAATGGTTTCCTTTACTTCATGAAACAGATCCCCTGTTGTAAATCTCCAGGAGCAAAAGTGCAAAATTGCTTAATGCTCTTTCAGACTTGGCTGAATACTGTGTAAGTCAGGCAGAATGGCTGACGGGGGAGGGCAGTAACATTAAGGCAGGCAAATAGCTGGCAAGGTCCGAGATTAAATTCTCTAGGACTGTAAATAAGTGAACCAGACAAGTCTACTCCTCCCTCCAATTAAATAGTCTCAACTAATAGCTCCACAACAAAGCCCCAGTGATTTCCAGACATGCTGCAGTAGAACATGCCCTTGCTGTCTGACATCCTGATTGTTAATACTAAAAGATCTGCCATAACTAAGAAGTTGTTTAAATTTGACACATCCGACTTCATTCAATGGGCCTGCAGAAAAGACAACCAAAGGCCACTTGAAATTAACCACAAAGTCTGAAAAGACGCAAAAATAAACAATATTTTGGCAAAAAGAAAGGCCTTTGAACCAGCAGCAGACAGAAATGTGTGCGGAAGACTATCAAAGGCCTGGAAGTGATTAAAAAAACCTGGGAAAAAAGAGCTCCAAACAGCTTCAAACAAAGTTTGAAGGTGTTGCTTTTAGACACTGTTAGACAACTCATACTCTCAGCAACTCTTAACAAGCGCTACCAGGAAATTTCTGCTGGGGACGAAGTGAACAGATTACTCAACACTTTGCATTACGAGGAACAGTATCTATACACAAAGGTTAATCCTGGTCATAACAGATATAGTCTAAAGGTCTCTTTATCCCAGGTTAAGCTCAAATCTATTTTCTTACAGGAGGAGTGGGGCAACTACACTCTTAGATGCATGAGAAATGCATGTGCTCATTTCTTTCAGGCAAATGCCACAAAAATTACAATTTCCGCCCTAGGAAGCGGACACACAGCACCTTTGCCAGGAGTAAATAAGCCTTCAGTGAAGGTGTAGACTTTCAAATAACAGAGAGAAGTTATATAGTAAAAGAAAGAAAGCAAAGTAGCTCATGCTGTCTGTCCTGCATTAAAAATCTTGTATTTCATACATGACTAGTTCAAACAAGGACACAGATTATTTTTCCTCTTCTCTTTAAAAAAAGGACATACCAGAAACAAAGCATAGAGCAAAAATCCCTGTTGCTCCCAAGTAGTCCTGAATATTGGATAAAAAACAGTAATAGGACACAGTCCATCCATGAAGATGACTAAATTAGAGTTTTCCTCTGTAGGGTAAGCAAGGGCTGGTTCCCAAAGTCACTACAAACGACTGAAAAATAAAAAAGGGTGGAAGATGAAGGTCAGACTGGGTTTAAGCAGTATCAGTCCGAAGGAAATTTATTTTTCCATGTACCTCTGCTCTCCGTATCACCAAAGCTGGCTCCCAGCAGTTAAAGCAGTCTCTTCTCTGCTTGCTCAAGTACTGTTGCCATGCTCGTCTCGCTCTGTTGCTACTTGCTCTTCATTAGATTCTGCCACAGGCTGAGAGCTATCACCTTTTTGTATTGCAACCTCAGCACTGTCTTGTTCAGGACAAACGGATGCCATGCTTTGCTCAAGACTCTCTTGATTTTGGTTCTTGCCTATAGCTTTTGCTTCCATCTTTTCGTTTGCATTTTCTTCTGCCTTTTCATGCCGCTCTACCTTGTCTGCCTCACTTTTGCATCCCAGGAGAACGCTACTGCAGTGGTAACGGTCACTCTCTGCTGTGACTTGATCTCCACCTGAGTCCAAGTCATCGCTTACTGGAGAAGTCCCGTCTCTCTTGGGGACCTTGCACTCAGCTGGGACGTCCACAACTCCACCTTTTGTATCACCACCAGTGTTCTCACTGGCCTCTTCCACAGCTGTCGTCTTCTCACTAACTCTTCCCTCCTCAGTCTCAGTGTTTGCAACAGGTGGATTTAACGGGGCATTGACAGCAGGGGGTCTCATGTTCAGGTTAATGGCCAAGGTGCATGTTCTGCCTTTCATTGTTCTTTTATCAACTTTCCTCCGTTTTACAGCTGCGTCAGCTGCCTCTGGCACCATTACCTCTTCAGTTTTTACAGCGTCGTCCTTAGGTATTTCCTGGTCCTCTTCCGTCTGCAAGACTGGAACCGAGGAGGGGATTTCTGCATCAATTGCACATTCTCCTAGATTACGAGAAATTTTTTCAATATCATTTGGGCTTTTCAATGGCTCACTGTGTTTAGTGTCTGCCCTACTTGCATCCAGTTTTCTCTTCTTGCTCTCCTTTGCACAGTCATTCTCTGTCGTACTCTGTACTTCTTCAGCCTCGCTATTCAAATCCTTCTCCTCCTGTCGGGCAAATGAAGGGTCTCTCTCTTCTTCACCATCCCCACCCTGTGAAACATGTTCACTTAACTTCTCTCTTAGGTCTTCTTCATTCACTTCTTCAGGCTGTAAGTCTGCATTATCTCTAACTTTCTGTTCCTCCTCTAACAACTCATCTTTCTGATCGTTTTCCACAGAATCATCACTTTTTTTACCAGGAGGTTCCTGTTTATTTTCATCTTTTTGGTACAGCTGTGTCTTGGCTGAGCAGGGTCTGTACTTCAACAGTTTGTCCTGTGGTGCCCATATAAAGCTGCTCTGAGGCTTGAAGTGTTGCCAGGCATAGTGGACTAGTTCTCTTCTCTTCCGTTTGCTTCTGATAGTGAACAGAAAGTAATCCAAGGCACTTCTCTTGACATTTGGCAGCGTCTCCTTAACAAGAGTTTCTGTTAGGAAAAACTTCACCAAGTGCACTTGATAGTGTTCGTATCCCATCTCCCCCAGGCACTTCAGGATGCGAGTAATCCGCAAATTGTTGTGGCTAAATCTAAGAGAAACAGATATGCAAAGTTGTTAAGGGAAAAATCTTACATGCTTGGAGTCGCAATGAACCTCAGGGGTACCTGCAAAGTATTTTGTGTATTGTTAATAATGATCTACTAAAGAATGTTTGGCAATGGGGACGGGAGCATAGGCTGGCTTACTTTTAAAGCACCTACTGCAGCTGTCTACCTTCAGAAGTACCTTCCTAGCCCTTCTTGGACTGCTTGGATTAAACATTTCAACTGCTTGGAAAAGTTCTGGCTTTCTGCATCGTCCGTCAGAAGGTAACAGCCACCATATTGGGTCAGACACATAAGTCCACGCAGCCCAATATCCTGTCCCTGATAGTGGCCTGCAGGGTAAGCCTGTAGAAGAGTATAAAAACACAGGCATGTAAGGACACTTCCCTTGATGCTTCCAGAGTTTCACAACTTAGGGACTTAAGCTAGACACAGAGTGTTTATATTTGACAGTCCCGAAATTGATTTTTCTCTGTGGGTATGCTTTTAGAGCCTCTTTTAATATCATTAGTAGGCACTAGCATATTAAAGGACATTGCTATCACTATGATAAGACCTACAATAACATAACAACTTCACCATCAAATCACAGAGCACTCTTCAACCAAGGATTCAAAGCATTTCACAGGCCTTAAGGCAGCTTTATAAACAATCAGGGAAGCACATGGAAATGCTCGTATTTTATAGCTTAAAAGAGCACCACAAAGGCAATTCGGCTACCTGTGCAAATTCCTTCAGAGGTTTAAGAAGTTCAAGATTACAGCTTAAAACCTGGTTTCAAACACAAGTCCTGCAATAGCCAATATCAGTGTCTCGCAAGTCTACACTGCATACTTCAGAAGACCAAGATGAAAAAAGCCTGCCATTAATGGATGCACTGGATATAAAAGAACATCAGTCTCATCTGGAACCTCTGCACATTTCATGAACATTATGGCAAAGATTGTGACGATTTACAGTAAGAGGCAGAGCCAAGGTAAGAATACCTTGGCTAGCTGACTTTTGCATCTACAAAAGCATCCATTCTTCAAGGGCCGACAATTTTCTCAACTCTGTATGACTTTTTCCTTCTCAAAAAACGCCTGGCCATTGTAAATGCCCAAGAGTACAGAGACTCACCGGTTCAGGTTTTGAAACCTTTCAGTCCAATTCTCTGCTCTTTCAAGTTCTCCAGTTTTCTGGTTAGTCAGAGTGATTCCATAAAATCTCAACATGAGTTGATAAGCACGTTCAAACCTTTGCATAACTTCTTCGGACTTCTTAAAGGCCTAAAAGGCAAGAAAGATCAATGGATAAAACAGCAACTACCTAATTATCTGTATCATTTTTTTTAAGTGGCCCTTGACTAATAAATAAACAAGGGTTGGTTATATCAGGAAACACGTGATTTGCTGCTGTAGCTACTAGCAGAGACTCAAGACAGTCAAAAGCTGCACTTAACAGCACTTGAGTGAGCTCTGTTCTTACTAGGAACCAAAGAAAGAAATGTAAAGGCACGCAGGGAAAATCCTAATAGCCTTCAGGTTAAAAAAAAAAAAAAATTACCTCAATTTCTTGACGTGTGAGTTGCTTGGCATGCCAGTTCATCCCATGTTCACGTAAAGGGAATAACCTGAAGGGAAAGAAATTTTCTGTCCAGAAGAAGCAAAAATGACATCCAACCCAGGGTACTCATTCTGTTAAAATTAACAAAGATTCCAGTAACTGTGGTATCACAGGCATCTCTAGAAGAGTTCACACCCTTGTGGATACAGAAGTTTACTATATGACAAATAAGTCTGTCCCATTAAAAAAAAAAAAATCATTCTACACAAAGGTGCTAACAGCAGACTTGGCTTATTTGGATCTCTCTCATTGCCATAGTACTTTGTTCTGCAGTACGCTGGAAGACCAAGTGTGACTGAGATCTGTCATCACAGATGCACTGGAAACCTGTGTCTTCAGGATATCCAGCTCTTTGCTTCCACAATAATGCGACTCACAAAAATGAAGTGGGCACAAGTTTGACTCAGGAGTGACTCTGGGCCTTTTGGGAAGCTGAATTCAGGAATACAGATACAAATCAACTCTTTTAAGAGGCACACCTGAGGAGAGGCATTACATTCAGGAGTTTACCATTGTATGTAAGAATGGTTTTCTTCCAGAACTTCATAGTTGTCCCACCAAGACTCAAGAAGAGCTTCAATATGCAAACCTAGAGACAAAAGGAAAGAGCGAGGCAGAAAGAAAAGACAACAAATGAAAATTAAATTTAAAGTTAGCCAGCTATCTGAAGTGGCTCATTAGATAAACTAACCTGGCTCTGAAAAATTAGACAAGCATTTTAGGCAGCCAGGAAAAAAAAAAAAAAGCAGCTACATTTCTACTAGCAAACAGAAAATGAAGGAACATGTGGCAGGAACAAGGAGGAACTGGCAAATTCTACATTTTAAAATGGAAACTCCTCTGTGCTTTTTATAGTTGTCCCACAAGGATCAAATCTACTCTTCCACCAATTCAAATCGTCACATTATAATTGTATAGAGGAGGAGTCAAGCAAGGTACTCACCCTGGGGCAAAAAACAAATTTCATTTCTGTAAAAGCTTAAGTTCCACATCTCTTCTTCCTCATCATTTTCTGGTTCTACCAAACCCTGGAGATAAGAACAAGCAATCAAAAAGCAGCAATTTTTTTAAAATGCAGTATCTACCTGAACACTTCTTGAATTCCCTCATGTTTCCAGCATCAGCTGAATACTCAAGACACGTTTGGGACAACAACTTATTTCTGATGCACCCATGAGCACATCATCCCTTCCTCCTCACAAATTAAATTATTAGAAGTTCTGAGCCCATCAAAATAAAGACAGAAGAGAGTCCTCAAATCCAGGAAGTCATCTTAAATTTAGCAGTTGATGAGGAAGAGCCATGAGAACATGTGCATACCGGGTAACGATGTCTGTATCTCTGCAAGTCTTTTGCTGCATTCCAGTTGCGCTTGCCTGAGAACTAGAGAAAAGAGACAAATCAATGATCCAGAGTTAAATCCTCTCCTGCAAAAATGCCACTGGCTGAACTCAGCATCTCTCACAAATGCTCCCCTGCCTATCACTCTCCTACACCCTCCACCCTGCACTTCTAGCACCCATACAAGCAGCCAGTCTGTTACTGCAGTTGTTTCCCTGCATTCTTAAAGGCAACTTTGGGCTAAGAGGACTTCACACCACTTCCTTTAACCAAAAGATTTCTTTTACGTTCTGGTCTTATTAATCAGGGTCTTCATGTTCAATATTTATCTTTTATCACAGATGGTTGTTTTCCTACAAATTGTAAGAACAGAAGTGGTCAGAACTACCTGGAAAGCCCCGATTGGTAAAATGACGTTTTCTTTGCTAACTCTAATGTTTTAAAACCAGGACTCTTATTCCTTGTAGACATTACAGAAGGGAAATTATCTTTGCTTTATGCTCTAGAGCAGTCTTGCTGCATCATGCCAGTTTAGACAATGAAAGATAACAGACTGGCAGGGTCACATTAGATATCTTTTTTTTTTTGTATTCCTATAACAATCATCATATTGGTTACTGCTCATCTCTCCAAGCAAGCAAACTACTTCAAGCCTAACTGAAAACCGCTCTGAGACAACAGTGACAAATTTCATCATCTTTGCACCTGCAAAGAGAAGGCATTTAATAGGAAACTGAAAGGCAACTGAACTTGTCAAATAAAACAAAGATGTATACAAAATGAAGATACCCACAGCAGTGATTCACATGATTCCTATTAGTTGCCAAGTGACAGGCTTACCTAGTTACAACTGAATGTACATGATTTTATTCATAATTCAAATTAGTGTTAAAAAATGCTGCGGTGCCAAGTTCACCTGACAATTAGGTTTCAGGTTCTTCTTGCTACCAGATGTGCTAGATTTATTCCAGATATCACATCAATGAAGTTATGTGGGGATAAAGCACCTGCAAACCCAAGAGACCCCGGAGGTGTAAAACATGTTTACAAATGTAGCAGTTAGACAGAAATCACAAAGTACAGTTTCATTACCCTCTCAAGCTGTGAGTGTGACATCATTTAAGACGTATTTTAACTGAATTCAGTGTGTGTGTGTGTGTGTGTGTGTGTGTCTGTCTGTCTGTATGTGAAGTGGATTACTTCAGTGATGAGAAAGCTTTTGTTAAAATGCACAAGCAGCAAAGATGGGCTTAATCTTGCTGGGTTGCTGAACCCTCTTGCTCCAAGCCATGAAAACCTTTAAAAGTGTTCTGGAACGTCAAAGCAGAACCATCAAAACGAACAAGATTGTTCATGACTAAAAGGACCTGCCCAGCGCAAAGCACGCTGGAGTTACAGCCTTCAGCGCTAGCTAGCAACAAGTGCGGGCTCTCTGTGGAACAGGGATAAGATGGGCAGATTCTTGCAAAATAAACATTTTAAGAAATCTAGAAGAAAGAAGCAGCAAGTGTTCTCCTGAGTTAGTTATGAACTATATTTGATACTTTCTGATCTCCTTCGCCCAGAAAAAAATAAAAAGCAAAGCCACATTCTAGTGAATATTGATCACTGGTTCAAATAATTATTGAGGCAGGAACTAGATTAGATTTTGTAACATCTCCTAGTAATGAAGTCAACCATCCACCAGCCCTCCTGATTTTTAATACTTCCAATTTATGAAACATGCACAGCTTTTGGGAGATCAAAGCTTTGCCCGTAGAGGGAGGTCATCGATACGGAATTTAAAAAAATAATATTAATTAAAAAAAATAATATTTTAAATATAGATTTAACACACTATGACCGCTCATATTTCTGTGATAGAAACTAAATAGATGTTGCAGGACTTCTTTTAATTTAGTAACTTGTGAATACCTAAAATAATGCCTATCTACATTGCAGCACATTTCCATTTTATGTGATAACACAAATTGAAAAAGGTGAAAGAACTCTTCCACAGTCACAGAGCCCATGACACAGACACGATTAGAAATCCAAGCACTGATGTCCATTCACATAATCTACCCAGGCTGCCAATGCAATGGTTAGAAATTTCACACAAATATAAACATAGACTTGGCTACCAAATTAGCACTTGAAAAAAATAACAAGCTGCAAAAAAGACTGAGAAATACATTCAGCTAGAAAAGGTAAATACTATTCTTTCTTCAAGATGTAAGCAGGAAATTAGCAATTTAGCAAATTCGTCTATGCTTTTTGATGATAAAAGTTTCGAACTTCAGGGATGAAATTCTGATATCTCTGGAATTAACGAGTTTTGCTACCAGTTACAGACAAACCAACTTCCAGACTTTCTTTATATTTAAGGTTCTAAAATAACACCATTTAACACAGGTAGCGCAGGCTAACAGCAGGCCAACTCCAGTTTTGAAGAAGGACTGGTATGCAGGAGAGCAGGTGTTGATGCAGCAACAGATGCAGTGACAGATGCAGGGTAAGGCTGCAAGGAACTCTGAAAATAGAGGAGGGGCAATAAAGCTTGCTTGGAAAAAAAGCTGGATCCAGTACAGAGGCGTTCTGGAGCAAAGCATTAGAGGGAACAGGATGGAGAAGCAAGGAGCAAACTCAGCCCCCTGCCCATGCAGGTATTCCTGGGTCTAAACTTCTGCTCAAGTCACACAGAAAGACAAACAGAAGTGCAAGATAATGAAATCTGAGTGCCTAAGTTAGACCTCCATATGTCTCACAACACTGATAAGCAGTTTTCGATGGGTTCTCTCTCAACACATCAATCACAATGTGCATTGCTATGGGAAGCGTGTGAGAAAAGCAGAGAACAAAGCCAGGAGAGGGTAACATGAACTACATTTGCCTGAGAACTGAAAGCCAGCTGCAAGTAAAAAGGATGAAACAACGTGCAGATTATCAACAAGACACAGAAAAGAGAAAGAAAACAGCATCCTACAATAGCAGCTGAGTAACTGAAATCTCTGGTTCATAGAAAATTATGGGAACTTATGGGAAGATAACAGGACTTGTTGTCCTGTGGCTCTGAGCAACAGGATATGAACCCCATGCTTCACAGTAGGCTAAAAGGTAACCTTTTAAAATGAGCACAAACGCCAAGATTCCCAATACTCTTTCTTAGAAGAAGCTAAAGGCACTAAAATGCAAAAAAGCTGAAAAGACACACCTGCAAGAATCTCAGATTGCAAATAGGCAGTATTTGTAAAGAGACAAATGACACGCAAACATAAAGGAATTTCAGGTAATTTTTGAAAGCGCGCAGTGAAAATAATAAGAAAAAAACTCTAACCTGAGTAGCATTGCAAAAAAACATAAACAGCTTCAGGAATAAAGAATACCATCTAGACTGCAGGGAGAAGAATTGGAATTAGTGTAATAAAAACAGAAGTAGGAACTAGTCTTGGAAATCTGATGCAAGTCGTTGGCCAGTTGTAGAGGCATAAATAGAGAGCAGATTTGCAGTTTCTTTTCTTATTCATTCTCATCCCCTTCAAATATTTTTCAGGCACTGCCAGACAGAGGTGACTACACATTCGGCACTGAAGGAAGAGTTGCTCTTTAAAGACGCAGAACAGTATTCCAGGGGCCACCCGTCTCAGGGACAACATCCTCCACCGTAAGGCAAAGTCTGAGATCTGCACTCACTGGAGTGAAAAAACGGTCACTGCCTTTACTGTTGTCTCAATCTCAATCCAGGAGGAGTTACTTAACAAAAAAAAAAAAAAAAAAGGAGAAAAAAAGAGAAAAAAAGAGAATAATCTGAAGGTTCTAGAAGCATTTTGCAAAGTTTAAAACTCGTAAACAAAATCAAAATTCCAGCAACGAACAAAGAAAATTGACAGCGTGCCTTCAAACAAGTAATGGAAACCACTCCCGAGTAAATCCCTGTCTGTCCCTCAAGTATTACAGGTATTCACTCTAAAATACTGGTGGACCTTTCATAGATGTACGTGCACAAGTAAGGCCTGACGTAAACCCCATGTTAAACCTTGTTGTTCGCGGAACACAGTGCATATGTTTTCGTGGAAAGCCATGAGTGCTGGGAATACTACATTGCACAGGAACATTTTCAAAAATGGGAACTACTTAAAAATCCCATTTTATAGTGAGATTTTATAAGTGTTTTTGATGTTTAATACTAAGCTCCTTTAAGTGTATTAATTAGAAAGCTTTATCTGCCTATTTATATTCTGAGAACATGAACAAGTCACTGAAGTGAAACTCAAGTGAGATTAGTTTCTTTTTCCCCCAAAGGGGAGGACTTAAGCTGACATCATTTTAAGGCACCAGAGATAAGCGTTCACATTTTGCAGAACTAACGCAACCATTATAACTGCACGTGTTTTTGAAACATTAACGGATCTTTTCTGTTTTCAGAGTTGTTGTATAACATGCCCTCTAGAAAAATCTGTCTAGAAGAAATACAAAGTTACAGCTCCTTTTTTGAAAGTGAACAAATTTTATGTGGTGGCTTTTAATTGGTAGCATGAAAGACCATATGAAAGCACACCAAAGATGCGCATATTGAAAAAAAAAAAACTCAAAAACCAAACCCCCCCCCCCCCCAAAAAAAAACCAAACAGGGAGCTGAAGAATATCAATAAATGGTTCATAAAGTCAAAAAGAGCATCCGTCAGAAATGCAGGAAACGGGCGGCTGCCATACAGAAGACAGAACTTGCGTTCATGCGATAAAGTACCTGATAACAGGGAATGGTGGGAAAAATACTAACGAAACTCAAGTGGAGCGTGAAGTCACAATAACCTCTGCCTCGGCAACCTCCTCCCGCAGGGTTCATCTCTAGCGGACCTTAGACCGCCCGCTCGCTCCGCGACCTGCAGGTTTCCTTCAGCAAGATCAAGACAACGTTACACGCCGGCGATGGCAGCCCGAAGGGCAAAACCCGCCTTCCTCTAAGTAGTTCAAGCTGCTCCAGTTCCTGACGGTCAATTAGGAAGGGGCCCAGAAACGCAGGCGCCACGGAGCGCAGCCGACCCAGAACGACACACACCTTCCCCGTGCCAGGGACCGAAACGCATCCGAGACGGTCCTGAGGGCCGCGGTGACTCTCGGGGCAGCA